TGTGTGTTACCTTTCTTTATTAAATATCATGTTCCTCGCACTTAAACCATAAGATCCAGTGCAACAGCAATATCGCAAAATAGTTTTAAAACGAGCATATCTTTAGAATTTCCGATACAGAGACTCACGCGCTGGAGATAAAAATGTTTTTCTGCACAACGTTGCCATTGCTCGCTTTGAAATCCTTGAGCTTGTTAATCAAAAATTCGTCAAAGTTTTAAAAAATAGGAAATCGATCATAAAAAAAAATTTCAAATTTGGTCTTCCACATGCTCATATTCGTTGGAGGATTACGTTATTCAAAATTCGATGACTCTATGTACCGTTGTTTTATCACAATACGAGAAATATACATACATTTATGCAGATTTTTCATTATTTAATTTCTTCAAATATAATGCAGGACTCTAACATTTTGTGGCAACAGTTTGAAAAGTGAACCGACATTTATGAGTCCGACGCAAAATGCCAAAACGAAACTAATAGTCCTTCGGGATTCAAATCCCTTTGGACTAAAAAAAAAGAGGGGGGAAGAAAAAATCTGAAAGCTTTCAGATTTAATATTACGCCGATAGGGGCTTTTTTCCTCCCCCCCCAGACAGGGGATTCAAAATGGGATTTGGAAAGAGATACAAACATTCAAAGTCATTTGACGCAAAATACCGTTAGACATTGTAACGTCTTTGCGTTGCTACGCTACCAACATAATACCAATAAGAAATGTAAAGAAAGAAGCGCATAAAATATCCGTGCTGATGCAAGCGATGTTAATGGAACGCTTCGAAATCGTTGAATCATCAAACCACGAACGAATCACTGTAACGAATCAAAAATGCGTTAAAGTTTTACATACTATGAAATAAGTAATAAAAGAAATCCCAAATTTGAGCTTCCCGTTCCCATATTTGAGCGGACTGTTACGTTATTCAAAATTTGATGCCTTTACGTACCCTTGTTTTTTCACAGTGTGAAAACATACATACATTCATGTAGATTCATGTGGAAATATGTATACATTCATGTAGATTCATGTGAAAACATGCATACATTCATGTAGAAACTTTGAGTTCCTATTTAAATATTAAGCTACATTGGGTTAAAGCCCATATAGGCCCATATAGGCCTGGCCAAGCAGGCGGTCTCAAATGTCAGTGCAATGGATATTGAAGTAACAGTTTCGAAGAGAATTACAATTCGAAGAATGAAAAAATTTACGTTAACAAATGGAAAATACAGTGGTTCTCTTCACCTAAAAACAAAGGATTTGTGGAACTAATTAAAATCACAAATAAAATGAAATGTATGAACAATATTGATGTTAATCAGGTTTTCACTGGACATGGTAGGTTTCCGTTCTATTTCAACCGATTGAATCTGCAGGAAAATAAATTATGTAATAGTTGTCAGGTTGATGGTGATGCCTTTCGTGGTTGATTGTAGTTTAACAGCCCCTATTAGACAGATTTTTAACACTACTGATTTTAATGTAAGTATCGTTAATTTTAAAGTTTTTAAATCATATTCTATTGCTCTAATGAAGTTTATGAATGAAAATAGGGCGCTAGGAGGAATCTTCTGTTAAAATTGAATTTTGTATTTATATGGGTTTTATATATCTGTGGTGTTCTATGTTGTGAATTTGTGTTTATGGATTTTTTTGTTTGTTTGTTTGTTAGTCTGTAATTTTGTGTTAGATGTGCTTATTTAGTTTTGATTTAGTATTTTTGTTTGTTGTTTGGGGGTGGCTGGGTTACTGGCTGCCCTCGATTGTAAAGATACGGGGCCCCTTCTTTTGATCTATGGGGACACTCGTGTTAAGGTGGGCTGAAGGGAGCCTCCAATTCTTACATTCATGTAGATTCTTCATTATTTAATTTCTTTAAATATAATGCAGGGAGATATTATTTGATGGGAACAATTTACAACGTGTACAATGATTTTCATAAGTCTAACTAGTGTAATTTCACTGGCCGAGTTAATATATAATAATAACAGGAATGTATAATATAAGCACAACATTTTGCTCTAATTCTAAAACTTTGTTACAAATTAACCGTTGATTGTAGTAATATAATTGTATCGATGGATAGTTCACTTTTAATACCATTGTTTTCAATCTAAAATGGGCAATTAGTTCAGGAAAGGGAATTTGCTGCGAATTGGTATAAATGTCGGCTTACATTTAGATGGTTAATTCACGTTTCAAATTGCTCCCATCTCCCTGTATTATTTATAAATAAATTAAAAGATGATAAATCTGCATGTATATATGCATGGCGAAAAAAAAGACGTACCTAAAGCCACTCAGTTTTGAATAACGTAGTCCTCCACCAGAGCAGTCTTGCCAGAAAATTTTCAACTAAAGTAGCAAAAGTAGACTAAAAAAGTCGCAAATGGCGCCAGAGATCACGTGATTTTGTGACCTCATAGTTACGCTTCTATTTACGCCTAAATAAACTGTTTTCTTTAATATAAATAATTCTTAATTGTAACAGTATTTTAACATAAAAGCATTTTACGATATATTAAAAAAATCTTTGAAGTCGCACAAAGTAGCATACGAAAATGATGGAGGTCGCAAAAATTTCGCAAAATCGCAAATATTAAAATTTGAGTCGCACAAGTTAGACAAAAGTCGCAAATTTGCGAAACGCACGATCTGGCAACACTGCACTTGAAGCCCGAAATTTCGAATTTGTTAGTCCGAAGAGGCCATTTGTCCAGAAGGACTATTAATTTCGTTTTGGCATTTTGCGTTGGCTCACTATAAATGTCGGTTCACTTTTCAAATTGTTGCCACCAAATATTAGAGCCTTGCATAATACATAAAGAAATAAAATAATGAAGAATCTGCATAAATGTATGTAGGTTTCTCGCATTGTGATAAAACAACGGTACCTAGAGCCATCGAATTTTGAATAATGTAAGTTTCCACCCGAGTATGGGCATCTGGAAGCCCAAATTTGGAATATGTTTTATTATCTATTTTATGTTTTGGAAAACATGAATTTTCTATTAACCCTTTCCGGCACGCTACCTCTTAAAGTCGGAGTTTTGATTTAAAAAAAAAAAAAAAAAAAAAAAAAAAAAAAAAAAAAAAAGGTAGGCAGTTTAATTAGGCCTAGAGGAGTACACGAGTAAAATTTTGTGAAGATAGCACTTATCGTTTTAATTCTGTGGGTATGCCCAAAGTGGCACACTGATTGAATAGAGCTTCGAAAAGAGTGCTGAAACGAGCATTGTTGTCAATGAACTGACCGATAAGATGCGGAGAAACAAAAATAGAGTCTCAGTTGTCCTAGATGATCGGTGAGCCCGGTCTGGGCACACCTATGGTTCGCCGTTTGTTTTTTGGCAAGATTTAAAGGTAAAAATTTAAAACTAATATAGAATAAGGAGATTAGCATACAGCCAAAAAAAAAAAAATATATATAAATTTCTTTTCAAACAATTCCTTTTATACCCTAAAAAATATCTGGAAGATTTCTTTGAAAAATGAGGGTCTTAAAAAACATGGCTAAAATATATGGACTGGACTAGAAGAGAAACACGCTAATGTGACAATCAAAGTCGTAAAAACAACCTTGTATTTAGCGTAAGTATATTGATATACTTACGCTAAATATAAGGTTGATAATAACAGTGTTGCCGATAATAACAGTGTTGCCATTGCTCGCTTTGAAACTTAACGAAATGAAATAACAATTTTTTTATTATTATTGTTATTATAATGTTTCATTAATATTTCATTATTAATAATAATAATAATTCATTCAATATACTTACGCTAAATACAAGGTTGTTTTTACGATTTTGATTATATATGGACTGGTTTGTGTTGAGCTGCCATCTACTATAAATAAAGAAGGTTCATAGTAACCTATAAATCCTTTTTCATTCAATTTTTCTGTGCGTACAGAAGGAAATTTTTAGGTGTGTCCAGACCGGACACATTGTGCCGCAAAGGGTTAAGAAACTTAAGGATTTCAAAGTGAGCAATGGAAACACTGTGCAGGGAGGAGCATTTTTATCTCCAGCGCGCGAGACTGTGTATCAGAAATTCTAAAGATATGCTCATTTGAAGTTTTTTTGGATATTGCTGTTGAATTGAATTTTATGGTTTAGGTGCGAAGAACGTAGTATTTAATAACAAAAAATGTAACACACAAAACGTTAAAAAAATGCTCTTTGGGGTGTAATATAATTTATATAATATAATATAATTCTTTTGGGTATTTAGTATTATTATTGTTGTTATTATAATGTTTAACAATGACATTATAATAACAGTGTTGCCATTGCTCGCTTTGAAACTTAACGAAATGAAATAATAATTTTTATTATTGTTATTATAAAGTTTCATTAATAATAATAATAATAATTCATTCATTTGTTAGTAATAACGGACATTTGAATGTATTTCTTAAACTGCTAGAAAGTACTAGCTGTTAATGATCTGAAGAATAGAAAATTGATTTTATCTTCTCCACTTGAAGTATAATGTCTGTAATTTTACATTGTAACAGAATAAATAACATCGATTTACATGTTATCGTACCACTATCTGAATCTTTATCGTCCAATTATTTCAAACCTCAGCATTGTATTCAGTCGCTTCCTTTCTTAGTTCCATTTATTTTCTAATTCCGAATCGTGTTGCCACTGAGGTTCAGTTTAACGGGACAAGGTCGGAACGACTTTTTTGACAGTCACCTTGCGGTCACTTGGTACAAGTAACGAGTTCCGTTCTTTCTTTTGCTATTAGGAACACCGATAGCTAATAAAATATCACGGCAGAACAGAGATACGAACTACTTTACATTCTAGAATCGAACCCATTTTAAAACAGCCATGAAAAGGGTGGTATTTTTCCTTCCGAATTCCAAATGAGATTCGAATTTGGCAAGGTCATTGTTAAAGATATTAAAGTCGATAAGTTAATTTGTAAATTAACCGTGGTATTAGGCGGTACGAAAAGCGTTAACGGGTCCTTTGGTTTTATTATAACGTAGTACTAGTTTGTGCCTTATGGATACTGACAGCAGTTGAATTTTAGTTTTGTGTAAGTAATGAGTGTTGGATCGTTGTCGTGGGATTAATTCGTGTTGCCAACGAGACCGAGAAATAATAATATCCTTTCCGGAGGAAGAGGCTGATGTTCCGCAAGCGAAAGCATGTTGTTAAAAAGGCAAGGAAGCCGTATTTTGAAGGAGATTATTCTTCTGAAGAAGTATTTCAAGGGATACGAGAAATGTATGATTTGTTCTTTTTTATTTAATTTAAAATTTATTTTAATAATTAATAAAATTTTGTGTATGACAAAATAATATATCCGTTGCAACTTTATGTACTGTCATTAAGTCAGCCTATTTTACGTCATATATTGTAACGCATACTGTTTGCAAGTTACACTACATTAAAGTTATTTAAAATAAGAATGTACAGTATTTTCTTCCGTGTTTTTAACCCTAGTTTTTTAACGCTAGGTTCTTAAAATTAAAAAAAAATATATATATTCATATTGTTTTTCTCTTCTTCTATCTTACATAGTTTCTCCCTCTGACGGTTATTGTACTAATAAGTTGTATTCCCTTTTTTTATTATTTATTTTTATTCAGTGTATCCAATTTTTACAGTTTGTGCTTGCATTTTTGTACTAGCATTTTTTACATTTATTTTTTCTGATATTATTTTTAAAGTTTATTGTGCAGATTCTTCGTTTAATTACTCAGTCATGGCAGATACTCTCAGCATTATGAAACTTTCCAAACATGTAATTTCACCTTACTTCTGTTACTTACGGTTCCAGCTCACTGTAGTCTTAGCTAGTGCTGACTGATGTGTTCGATCTTTCGAAATCCATGCTTTTATTCGTTTCCCTTCTCCTTCTTTCCTCCGATGCCCCTGAGATTTTACCAGGTAACTGAGCTTGTAGGGTTTCCTAATTTTGCATAACAAATTATTTTAAGTTTGGTATCCTTCCTGAACTTCTCATTTTCCCCTCCCCTTTCCTCGCCAGGCTGCAAATTTAAAGTGAATTGAGTATAAAGTCAGACGAATCTTGTAGTTTATTCAGAGCGTGATTTCGCTAGCCAACGCAGGTTACTAGTTTGTCCTAGCTGTTAGAGTTTCTGATATGCCTTTTTGGCCATTTAATAAGTATATCACCGGGTAGGTTGTTGAGTCAGCCTAGTTAGCCTTAAATTAAATTGTTAATCCAGCACTGCTCTTCATCATTGAAATTATTGTATAACTATTCTTCCACCACCATCACACGTTGTAGGTGTTATTGTAAGCACAAAGTACGTGCACTTGTATTCAGAGTTTGACAAATAATAAAGGGTTATATTACCCTTCTTCTATACTGGCATTTACGCTTGTGCGAGGAGTCTACAGGTTCCTTAGTGGAATCTAACAAAATTTATTATAGCAAAAACGGTCAGATCCTACAAGCTATAGTGCGACGTGTCTGGCTTGAATTACGGTCAGATATTGTAATGTTAACATTAGTATGTTCTGTTACTGGAATGCAGATTTGTTTTAAATCAATAACAATGTGAGAGTTACCATTAGTTTATTCATGACTGCTTTTCATTTGTTATGTCCTTACTGTAACCGTGTTAGGAAAGTAAATGACTCTTTCTCGATTTTAGAACGATGAAATTAGTTAAGAAAATTAAGAAAATACGTGAGGAAATACGATATACTATATTAAATTTACTAAAATAAGAATGTATATGTACTCTGTAATAATAAATATGATAATTATGCAGATGCTTGTTTCGGATCTTCATAATCGCTCATTCAGATTTCGCACTGCACTAAATTACTAAATTATAAAATATTTATGCGAATAATTGAAACAAAGAATATGGTAACTATTCACATGTTCAGAACAAACGCTAATGTAAAAAGTTATTTCTATTTGATGGCAAACAAAATTTACTATATTTTGAATATTTATATATGAATACACTAAACAAAGAGTGGGATAATTATCTACAAGTTATTTCAGGCTAAGCTATTTCGACTCCTTGCTGAATTAAATTTACTAAATTTAGAATACTTATGCGAAAAGCAAGAAACAAAGATGCAGTTAACAATTAAATGTCATTATTTAATAAACTTATATAGTTAACTAAGGTCATTATTTAATTCATATTTTTACTTCCTTGTACAAAGTAAAGGAAGTATTGTAATCACGAAAAATTTTGGGTATCATATTTCAACAAAAATATCCACTTTGACCGATACTGAATGCCGTTTAACGATGTTTTTGCGTGATATCTCTATTTAAGGACAGAATAGAGAACTCATTTTCCCCCAACGGAATTATAAAAGTGATTTAAAATGAATACAGAAGAGATTTTTCTGTGACGTCTGTACGTACGTACGTACGTACGTATGTATGTATGTATCTCGCGTAACTCAAAAGTGAGTAACCTCAGAACGTTGATATTTTGTATACAGGACTGCTATAACATGTAGTTGCGCACCTTCCTTTTTGGTTCCAATTGGCCTTACCAAAAGTATAAATATATATATGTATGTACCCACTCTGTTACTCGGCTCTGTGAGCTCAGTTTTTTTTTTCTTTTCTTTATATGTTAGTAAATTGCGCCCTTTTTGCTTTAAAAATAATTGAATTATTTTGTTCTTATCTGCCGTTTAAGGTTTTTATGCTTTTATTTAATCTGCATGCAATAGTTGTAGAATTACCAGCGATTTAAAAGTTCTTTAAGTGCGGCTAAACCTAATTTTTCTTACCGTAGCAGCCATATTTGTTTACATTTGAAACTCGACAGAGTAATGAATTAAGTCGGTTTCTGCACATTCAGTGTCTTCTTGCCTGCTGGGAAAAGTAAACTTTTCAATTTTGTGCATCGAAAAATATGCCTTCCTGCCCGCTAGTTGAATTGCTTATTTCTTGCAGTTAAAAACAGAAAAATCGTTTTGTGTTTTTTAACTGCATTTCGTGCTTCAAATTTTTCTGTGTATTACAATTTTCAATGAAAATGATTTAAATTTTAATGTAATTTTGCCTTTTCGCGAAGTGAGAACTGAATTAATTAAATGAGAAATGTATCTCTAACGAAATTCGAGGAAATAAGTTTAAGTGAAATGCAGCAAAAAGTGTGTATAATTTAATAAGCCGTAAAAGAATGTCATCTGGTGTTGTTCCCATCAGGTATTTTTGTAAAGTTGTAGTACTAGGTTTTCATGAGTAAACTCAAAAAAATGAATGAAATACAGAGGTAAAAACATTTATTATTACTTCTTGCGCTCAAAAATCATCATGCTATGATTTGCAGGTGCGTTATTTTAATGTTATTTTATAGCAGTACTATTATAATATCACGATGTTTTAGAGTTGGAATGTTTTCTCTTTGCGTTGTTCTCTTAGTGATTCCCCCCCTCCTGCAGACGTTATCAATAGTGCGTATCACAGTTTTGCTTTGCTTTGGATGTAAAATTAATGTTATTATTTATTATCAGGAATTTTATTTTATTTATTTGTTATTAGGAATCCATTTGATAGTTTTATTTGACTCTGAATATATATATATATATAAATTCAACTTTTTATAGCATGCCAGTGGTGTATTTACCAGTTCTGAGTTCCTCTGAATAGTAAATAAATTCGAAATTTGCCCTTCTGTATGTTATCAATAGCGAATTTAATAATTTTCCCATTTTCTGTAAAAACAAAAGCGAAGTACATCTTTCTGTATTATATCGGTAGTAAATATGAAAATTTTGTTATGTTTTTCAGTTTAAATTAATAAAAAGTCCAGCTTTTCTTGTCTCACAAAATTCTAGTTGCTTTGAGTGTGAAATGAATATAAAATTTGTGTTTTAATGTGTTTCTAATAGTGCATTTAAGAACGTTTTCCCACTGAATGTAAAATAAATGTTGAATATGTCTTCCTTTACAGATCCTTATCCACCTCCGCCCCTTTGCTGGGCTCATCATCCTCACTATCATCCGCCCTACCCTCCCGGCGCCATGCCTGAAGTGCCACTCATCCACAGAGCTCTCGTTGCTGCCCGCGAAGGAGATCTCCAAGGCCTGCAGCTTCTGAAAAAGAAGCAGGAGCTGCTACAAGGCCTACACGATGACTTCGGAGCCACCTGTGTCCACTATGCTGCCCGAGGGGGTCACGTGAAAGTGCTCGAATTTCTCATCAATAAATGTTCGATGCGAGCGAATGTAAGATCGTTTGTGGGAGCTACCCCGGCCCATGATGCAGCCGCAATGGGTAAACTACCGGCTCTCGTCTGGCTGTTGAGGAATACGGATTGTACGTTGTGGGACAGGGACAAAGACGGAGCAACAGTTCTGCACATCGCTGCAAGGTAAGATTTGATACTTCTTCATTTTAAATGAATGTGTTAGATAATAATTATTATCTACTAATCACCATAGGAGGCGCGCAATACCGAGTTTTTGCAATTCTCTTATTTTTAAACCAAAACAGATCGCTGTGTACATGGACTGATTTTGGTTTAAAAATAAGAGAATTGCACAAACTCGGTATTGCGAATTACATATGAAGATTAGCAGATTAAAATCATTAGCTAACTGCAAAATCGGCTAATTTGATGTGAACACAATCCTTCACTTTAGAATAGATTTATAAATTGGTTATGTATACATGGATTGTTAATGCACAAATTAATAAAAATTATAAATTAATAATTTACAAAAAAATATTTTTTATTAATTTTTTTTATTTATCGTTTTTACAAGTAAGAAATGATAATAAATTAATAAAGAAGTGAGTAAATATTTTAGACTAAAATTTTTCAGGGATATGTCATTCGACAACTGAAGAAGTTTCGTGGATAATCTATTTGTATATCTAACTACAAAATCGGCTAATTTGAGGTGAACACGATCCTTCATTTTAGCGGTACTAAACAGCAATAAGTCCGTTTTCGAAAAGGAGAAATAAATAAATATTCAATAGCTGACAATTAAACTACGATTTTGACTTAAGTTATGCTGAAATTACCCACGAAACTTCTTCAGTTGTTGAATTACATAACCCTGTAAAAGTTTAGTCTAAAAATTTACTTACTTCTTTATTAATTTTTTTTATCATTTTTTACTTGTAAAAACGACAAATAAAAAATTTATAAAAAATATTTTTTGTAAATTTCTAATTTCTAATTTTTATTAGTTTGTGCATTAACAATACATGTATACATAACCAATTTGTAATCTGTTACTAATTTATAACTTAATTTTTCGAGAAATATTCCAGTTTTCACAGCTACACAAATTTATAATTTCACTCCCTATCGAGGTTTTCTCTAACTTTTAAAAAGCTAAGAAAATATTAATTATGACTGAAGTTTTAACTAACTTTTCTCTCAATAAACATAGCTATGCACTTGCCACTTTATATCACCATTTCTTTCAATCCCCCCCCCCTCCGAAAAAAGATACATTACCCTTCCTGAAGAAGATGGACCTATATCAATAGCCTTTGAAAAGAACAAGCTTTATTTAAAATTTACGCTAATGTAGATAATATTTTGAGCAATTTCATGTCATTCATTAAACTTCTGGACTCCGAACATACTATGTCTTACAGCTTGAAATATCAGTGTACCCGCTTATAAATTAATGTTTTGACTATAACTTACTAATTTATGTCTGGGTTCGAATTCGAGTTGAATAGACCCGAGTTCGAACCCAGACAAACGGGCTGGCGGCATGGTTGATTTTTGTGGTTTTCCCTACGTCTACACGAATACTGCTAATTTCTCTTTAAACTCCTCCACGAAAGCATGTTTGCCTTTTGACATTTAGCCCCCGTATGCTTCACCATATTTAAAATACTTTACCTAGCAATTCTTTTGCATCAACGAAAGAATAAGAGCAGTATTTTTTAAGGATTTTCAAAATGCATCCGTACACCGTCTCCACGAAAATTAGTACTTACGTATTATTTGCAACCACTTCAGTAGATGTCGCCAAATCTTCAGAATGGGCAAAGCTGTATTAACCACACACGTAACCATTCTTTAAGCAACCATTTCATAACAATCCTTCAGACAAACCACACTCACAACTCTCTTTCAGTTAAGCAAAGTTCACTATTTTCGTATACTTTCTTTTTGTTGCATTCTTGATTTCAACAATTTTTATTGATAATTCGCGATATTTTTGCCGTAAAATCAACTTTGAAGTGTGTGCTTGTGAAATTTGCCAGTAATGGGAGAAAGTGCGGGAAAAATTTCTCTAGGAGTACAGAATTTTGCCAGAAAATCCCTCAAGAGAAAAAATCATTAGATCCTTTGCCACCATTAGCCACCTTTGCCTAAGTTTGCGCGATGCCAAGTTTGTACAATTGTATGATGTTTTCTTAAGCGTAAACACATCGCTGTGTCAACGTGAAAAAGAACAAGGCGAACGGGAAATTTGGCTTATTTGTAACCCAAATGGGGGCTAGCCAGAAGGGCTATTAGTCTCCAAACGGCATTTTGCGTCGAATCACTTTTCAAGTAGTTGCCACCAAATATTATTGCCCTATATTTTGTTTAAAGAAATTAAGTAATGAAAAATCTGCATAAATGTATGTATGTTTCTCGCATTGTGAAAAAACAAGGATACCTAGAGCCATGAAATTTTGAATAAAGTAGTTCTCTACTGGAATAGGAGCACGTGAAAGCCTGAATTTCGAATTTCTTTTATTATCTATTTCATATATTGTAAAACATTAACGAATTTCTCTTGAAAATTCAACAATTTCAGCAACAATGTAAGAAATAAAACATTTTTATCTCCAGTGCAGAAGACTGTCTATTGGAAATTCTAAAGATATGCTGATTTTAAACATTTTTAGCCCAATGTAGCATTAGCTCAAATACTCTCGAAACATGTATGTGTTTGTAAATAATTTTAAAAAAAGGCCTGTATAGGAATAATATAAAATCATAAAGCTTGCATATTTTTTTTTTACTTTGTGATTTTACTATAGCAAGTGCGACAAACTGTGTCCACAAAATCCGTTCTTCGCGAGAGGAGTTTAGACTGCGAAGCAGCGTTTTATAATGCCATTTAAGAATTTTTTTAATCTTCCTTATGAATAGATTTTAGCTTTATTTTAAGTTATTCGAAAGTATTCTTATCTGAATTCTAAAGAGTGAACGATTTCTAAAAGAAATTAACAGAAAATTGATATAATACCATAGCAACCACAGCATGTCATAAATCGTTATTTCTCAATTCCTTATATTCATTTTATACTTTGTGAGGCCGAATAACGACCTTTGTGGACGTGATGCATGAATTAAATGCATTATTATTAAATTATTAAGTACATTAAATTATATATAATTTGACATAACATAAAGCTAATACTTTTAATAATGTTAAGTAAAATGTTTATAAAATTTGTTGCTAACCTGTTTGATTAATTATTATATAATATCAATCATTTAATAATGATTGATATTATATAATAGTTTGAATTTCATCTAAGGAATGCTACTTTTTTATTTTACTTCCGTTTTCCCGCAGAAAAAACATTTGAAAGTCTTTCCTTCACGAATGGTGCTGCCATCTTCCATGTTTAACATGAACTAAAGACAAAGTATTTCTGCTTTTTCCTGATAGATGGCAGCACTGAAATAATTTGAGAGCTATTGACCTAGCTTTCGTGAAAGAAATTTACTCTTTTAAGTTGGAAAATATAGACGAATGTTTGATGAATCTGAAAATAGCACAACATTCTTAAATGTTAAGCGCAATGAACTGAGCGCGATGAGGACGAAAACTATAAAATATGCTTGTATAAAACAGGAGTTATATTTGAAAAAAATCAATATTTTCTTGAAGGAATTGAAAAGATTATTATAATTATTATTATATGCAATTATTAGTTATATTATCAGATCTGTTACCAAAGAGAAAAAACATTTTGAAGCTGTCTGGTGCTGCCATCTTTCCAGTGTTACATGAACTAAGCCAAAGTAATTAGTTTAGCATTTGTCGTCATTTATTTATTTATTGTTGTAACTCTCAGGATTTTTTTTCGACCTCAGTTATAACCTAAATCTATCCTATTTTTTTTTGTACTGTAAGTCTTTTAAATACTGTGGTAAGAATGATGAATAAATAAATACTGTAATTAGAAATTATCCTGTTTTATTTTTCGCCTCCTTTACTGACCTGAATGAAGAGTTTTTTAATATTTTTATTAAAAACAAATAGCATTTTATTTTTAATGATACCTAGTTTTCGTTTTATAACATTTCCTTTCTAAAATTGCATATTTTGTCAATTTAATCATCATTTTTACTGTAGAATTTATTTTCATTTTGAGAAATGTAAACATGTTTTTAAAACCAATATATAAATATTGTAGTTAATTTCATCTCTTTCGTTTTAACTGCAGAATTCTATATTGAAAAAGTAAAATACATATGAATTAAAATACATATGAAAAAGTAAAATACATCTGAATTCAACAGCAATAACTCAGAAGTAAATAAGCATGAAATATGATTAAATATGATTCTTACTCTGAATTCTAAATGTGCTTATTAAAATCTCAATTAAAGCCGCTTTATTTAGGGATTCAAAATGAGTTCTTTACTCAAAATTTTTCTAGTAATTTTTCATTTAAAATGAAATTATAAATATTCTAATATCTAATATCTAAAAATATTCTAATATCTACTAAATATTCTAATATCTAATATCTACTAAATATTCTAATATCTAAAATATGTATATTTATGACTATGAATAGAAGCATTATATTTTTGATAATTTTTGTTCATCTGACAAACTTTGATTAATATTACATCATTTTGTCCTTTTGAATGATCTTTAAAGGTTTAACTCTATCATTTTTCCAGCACATAACCTAAAAATTATTTTTAATCATTATTTACTTCATTTCCCTTCACAATAATCTGTACTCAAGGTCGTATAAATTAGAGTAATCATCGCAAAATTGGAATAATGCACTGCACTTACTCATTTAAAGGTTTATTTTTTAAAAACTTAATTTTGAACCATTTTCTTCATTTTTATGTTAAGGCTGTAATTTCATGCTTCATAGAGCAAAGCAAAAATCGTAATAATTGTTATCTAGTTCGTATACTTTGCTTTTTGTTTAAAAGTAACTACCTTAATAACGACGAATTCTAAAATAATAAACATTTAAAAACTAAATAACAGGAACTGTGTATTTAGGTTTTAAATCTTTTTATTAAATATGTACCATATTTTATATCCGACAAATATACATCTGGCTTTAAAATATTTGCAGCATATGATATTAGGAGTAATTTTTAGATTTTAAGGCTAAAAAATTTAAGAAAATGTTTAATTCAAA